ATAAGTATTCTGATCTCTGCCTCAACCATTTTACAGATATCACTGAGTTCTTAGTCGATGCCAGGGTATGGTGGTGGGTGCTGTGTAAACAACAGTGAAAAATATAGTCATGATCCCTACCCAAAGGCATGGAGCTTATTCAGTTACAATAACTACCATATTGGTTAAAAATTTTCTGTTTATAGAAATCTTTCCTACTCTGGTGTGGCAACATTTGAAGATGGGTACTGTGTTGAATCATGCCAGTATACCCCTTATCCCATGTAGTGCTGTCACCCAGTAAACATTTAGTGAATCATATTGAATTGATTCTGGGTAGTTGCCGGGAGCCGGTCCATCCTTGCTGTTTCAAGAGACCGGCATATATGGCATACTGTTCTTAATATTTTTGCTCACCTTCTTGGCACTATGTGTTTTAACCAAGGTCTCCTCTCTGAGAAAGGTTGTTTCCCCAGGTAGGGATTTTCCCCTGAAGTTAGGGAGGGAATAAAACCTCTTAACTAAGTGCCAGGCGGGTAATTAATCACTTTAACTACGAACAATCGTGCTTAAGCTACATAATCTTTACTCCCTGGAATGAAGATAAGAAACGCCCTAACCTTTGTAATAGAGATTGATAGGATTGGAATCAACTGGTATAAAAACAGATGTAAGAAGACAGAACCTACACTCAGAACCTAGGCACAGAACCTACACAGAACGTTCTCTAGAGACAGAAGAACTTCGCTGGAGAGAACATGGCAAAAGATCCTGGACTGAACCTGACTAGAACCTGGTGACTGAACCTGGCTGGAGAACCTGGACAGAACCTGGCTGGAGAACCTAGCGAGGGAGCATGGCTACAGAACCTGGCTGGAGAACCTGGAGAACCTAGCAAGAGAACATGGACACAGAACCTGGCTGGAGATCCTAACCAGAACTTCGCTGGAGATCCAGACCAGAACTTGGATGGAGATCCTGGCTGGAGATCCTGGCTAGGCTGCTGATCAACTGAACTCCGTCTCCGTGTCATTCCTTCTTTGCCGACTCCATCCACACCTTTGGGGACCCCTGGACCTGCTGGGGTTGGACTCCGGCAGGTAGTCTTACCTCCAGTCATTTCTGTGTTACCCAGTAGAACACTCCTCTTGCTTTTCCTTTCTATTCTATCCTTTAAGCCATTCTATTTTAGGTTTTGATGTAGGAAGGCAAATGAGCAAAATCCTTGCACTCATATGTCATCTTAGATGGATTGACAGTCATTGTCTAGAGTTGCGTGGGGAAATGATTCTAAGGTCTCAGTACAATGTAGTGGAGAGAGAATGGGATAAAGGAACATGGGTAGACTATAGGTTTGGAGCTAGCACAGATGAGAATAAGCACATTTAACCACATTCACTATTGATAATTGGCAATATTCAAGTAAAAAGTCTGGGACTTTACCTGTATTATTTATCATCCATCATTGACACTCAATAACTGTTGTAGAAATCAGGCATGTGAAGTCATAATCTCCCTCCTGTGTGTCAGTATATCCTATCCCAGTAACTTTAAAGTTCTCAAATTGCCTCACCTCCCTCAAGAGAGAAAGTGAATCTAATGCCTAGCCCACTCATATTCTATTCAGGCAGATTAGTTAAGGCATTGGGATTGAAATTGCACTTACCCAGCCTACAAGAGTCAGAGTGTTAAGTCAGGGCTTCTGAATTCAACTTGACTTTTGCCCTCTGCCTCCCATGTAACTTTGAACAAATCATGTATTTTTTGTTCTGCACTTTGTTGTGTCATCTATAGATTGAGGTGTTTGGACAAAATGATACTGAAGGTTCTTTTCAAATGTAATATTCTCTGTTTAATGAAATTAGCCAGGATTGTTCTACTGAAGACCTGCCTTTTGGGTTGTTATCACTTTGTGGTGACTCTTCTGACATAATACTGGGCAGGATGAAGAAATCATAGATCTATTCATCAATAGGGAAGGGTGACATCCTTGAGGGCAGGACCCGTGTCTAATGCATCTTCATATCTCTGTGCTCAACAGGTATGTGTTAAATCAACGAAGCAAAACTTCTAGTGGGAGGAGGATTCTGGAGGAATCCATGAGCACCAGTTTCTGGCAAGCATCATTTGTGTCCTTAACATCAGCCTGGGACCTGATGACAGCAACTGAATATATTGTCCTAAAGGTCACATAAAATTTGCTGCCCAGGACATGGACTGGTTATGGGTTACGGTTATTGCTGTTTTAACTAAAGACAGGAAAAGAGTCCTTGCTTTTAAGGAAAACCTTAGTACATGTGCTTGATTGTCCGCATCTGTCATGTTCTTCCTGACCAGGTATTCACAACACAAACATAATGAGGATGCTTGGAGGGAGGAGCAGGGGAAAAGGCAGCAGATTAAACAGCAGCTCTTCCTCTTCTCTTACTTTCTCCGCAATTCCATTCCTGTCCCATCTTCGGCACAGCCCAGGCGAGAATGAGTTCAGAATTTTAAGAACCTGGACAGAGCTCTTCATTTTCAGCCCGACAGGTACAAGAAGTGAGACTGTACATATGATTAATTCTTAATCACCTCCTAGTGGGACGTTTGGCTCCATTTCTTTCTCCTTGCACACAGAATGGTGCTCGTAAATGGAATTCTAATGATTCCCCTATGTCTATGGCTGAGGCAGGAGGATTTTAGTTTTAAATTACAGATTCCCAGCTCTATCCATCAGGAAGTCAGATATAATTGGTATGCTGGAAGGGCATGGAATTGGTATTTTTACAAAGATCCCCCAGGTAATTCTGATAACCACTCAGGTTTAGGATCCACTGATGTATTAAACAAGGTCAATATTCCTTAGTATGGCATTCAAGACCCTTGGTGATATTCCTTCCAACTCCCTTTTCCCCTTTCCAGCTGATGTGTAGCCATTCCTTTCATGCCATTCCTACCCTCACACCCACCAGATCGCTTGTGGCTCCCCCAAATGACATGTTCTGTGCATCTTCATGCTTTTGTCCATGCCTACAAAGCTTTTGTGCAGGTATCTGTCTGGTGAATTTAACATTCTTTATGGGCCCATTTAACCTGAGCCTTCCATCCCTGCGTCTCCTGGTAACCATCCACCCGACTGCAGAATTAATTGATCTCTCTTTTTGTTCCCATAATATCCTGAATATTTTGTCACTATTATAGCTCCAGTGACATATTTTCTACTCTTAAAAATTGGCACAAACAACTGCATAGTGGGATAGAGTGTTTTAAATAGAACAGAGTATTTAAAATTATTTTTATGGTTAATTTTTAAACCAAGATAAAAATAACACACATTAAGTCAAATGATATAGAAGTAAGCTTACAATTAAAAAAATGAAACCTCCCATTCCCCTGTCCCTAGTCTAGTCCCAATTTCCTGAGGCAATAGTTTAAGACATCAATTTTTTGGACCAAATAATGCAAAATTTAGCAGAATAGGGGCAGGGGGTAGGATGGGACAGAAAGCTCCTTTTTCCTATTTCTGTTCCCCAGACACCCATTTCCCGTCCCCTTTCCAGAGATAAATTCTGTTGCTAGTTTCTTGTGTATGCCTCCTGGGATGGTCTCTGAGTTTTCAAATGCATATTCACACACACAAACACACATAGATGGATTCATACTGTCTTACTGTATATACATTATATATTGCTTTTATTACATAACAATATACCTTGAAGATTTATTCCATATTTGTACATAGAGTACCTTCTCATTTGTTTGTTGGCTGTATATTATTTCATTGCTATTAGCTACACCATAATTTATTTAACAAATTCTCTATGGGTGGAAATTTAGGTTGCTGCCTAACTTTTGCTACTACAAATAATTCTGCAGTATATGGATATCATATTTTCAAGTGCAAGAATACCTGCAGGATACATTTCAGAGTGGAATTGCTGAGTGTAGATTTTTATATTAAATATTTCCAAGCAGCTCTTCAGAAAGCATGTATGAACTTAACACTCCCACCATCCATGTGCTTGTCAGACAATTGTGTTATTAAGTTGTTGTTTTTTAAAATTTTTGTAGACTAGTCTCCTCTACATGTGAGGAGGGACCATAGCATTTATCCAGGAAAGCAGGGCTTGCCCTGGTTCTATGACACTAGGTTGTATGTACAGTGGATGCTTTTAGCTTACACTGAGGCCAGGCAAACAGAAAACTACCTACAGAGTGGCTCCCAACTCAAGAGCCCCCTCCAAACTGCTTCCTGTCACCTGCTCCTTTGTAATGACAAAGGTATTCAGGATGCTCCCTTCATCAGTTCCTGCATCCCAATTCCCATTGTTAGAAAAAAAGCAGTTATTTTCATTGCAGGGTATGCCATCTACCATTGTAATTGTGCTCAACCATCTCTGCCTGAAATTCAAAACCACAGGCATTCTTTCCAGACATTTTCTGAATCCTGAACTTCAGTATAATAGGCAATGGGTTTGGGAAAACCACTGTGATAACAGTAAGTCTCGCCACGTCCCTTCTTGATTTTATTTTAGGAACATCCCAATTCTGTTTGAAAACAGCCTGTGTCGTGTGCTCCTACCTCAGGTTGTAGGCTTCTGTCTGTTTTCTATCATTTTTACAGTAGGGGTGCTGGTTGTTCCCAGGAAATCTCATGCTTAGATTTTCATGGGGCAAGACATTCAACGGACCTCACTGACTTCTCTTTGAGATTCTACTTATGCCATGTTAGAGCTATTCATGCACCTGTAAAGAATGTGAGGGGTTATCTAGTGAGCTGCTTTTTTTGTTTTTTTGCTCCACTAAGAAGCAGGAATTACAAAAGGGAAGAGAAACAAGTGCTGGAAGAGTATATTCTTTGCTCCAATACATTAAAATGACATGTGGGCCTCAAGATTTGTCTCCAGATTTATATTTGTACCTTCTCATCCTTGGCCTTGGGCTCTGCAGAAAGACTTATGATGCCCAAGAAGAGCAATTTCCCCTGATTCATTTAGGGTTACGGTGGAATTTATTGGGGAAGTTTATGTTTTACTTACTAGAGAGCAATTTGACTTCCTTGGTCTGGCACCACTCTCGAGGGAACATGAAATCTCTCAGAAGCCAAAATTGAAACCAGGAGCCTGTAAAATTCATGGAAAATTAAAAAAACAACAACACCCTCAACCCTTATAATACAGTAATTACTTCCCCAGGTTCCTTTCCAAACCTTGCTCACACTCTGACCTACTTTAAGAAAGCAGGTACAAGCTGACCTACCTTTTACAGTGATCTTTATTTGCTTTATATTCTACACAAACATTTTCTATGATGAACTGTTTCTTCATACTTTAATTTTTTAGTGGCTGCATACACATCCACTGAGTTACAGGCCATATTTTAAAAAATCATCTCTCTATGACCAGATTTAAGGCTTTATTTACCCTCAAAATTAATGTCACAACAAATAGCTCCGCACATTTACTTTTTTCTTTTTTTGGTTAAAATGTTTCTTTAAGACAGTGGTTCTCAACCTGTGGGTCGCGACCCCTTTGGCGGTCAAACAACCCTTTCACAGGGGTCGCCTAAGACCATCCTGCATATCAGATATTTACATTACGATTCATCACAGTAGCAACATTACAGTTATGAAGTAGCAATGAGAATAATTTTATGGTTGGGTCACAACATGAGGAATTGTATTTAAAGGGCCAGAAGGTTGAGATAAATTGTTTAGAGTAGGATTTCTTAACCAAGGAACGTGGATATTTTCTACAATCTTGATAGGCCTTGTCAAAGTACTAAAAGAAGAATTTTCCAACTATTTAGGCTTTCCAAGAATGGAATGGGCCTTTGTTCCATATTCTTAGTAGTCAGCATTACTACGAGTGGCCAAGCATAGGCTCACTGATGAGCTTTATTGCTACCACCTTAGCCCAGGTTAATCTCTTGCCTGGATTACACCAAAACAGGAGCTTCCTAGCTGGTACCTCATTGCTTTCACTCTTGCATTTCCTAAAACCCTTTCTTCATATGTCTGTCAAAGCACTGTAGAATAATCTCTGGAAGGTCAGAAAATAATGATTGAAGCCATATAGACAGAAAGTATCCTAATGGCCCTCCCGGGCTGTCCCCTTGAGACCTTGGTAGCCATGGAAACCACAGCTTTTTGGTTTTGATGCTGGACATGAGGCAACATCTCCAGGATGTCCTCCACCGACCCCTTGGAACACTGCATGCTACTTGTGGTGAATTTGGTGTGATGCTTTCTTCCCTCCCTCTCCTTCAAACCACATTGTCATCCAGATGCACCTGTCTTGTGGAGCCTAGGTTAGTTTGAGCTTTGCTTTTGGGAAGGCAGGAAATGTAAGTGTATGGCTTCTTCTTCTACATAGAGGAATCAAAATGTGGAAATTCCACCATAGCTGGTTTGGCTCAGTGGATAGAGCATTGGCCTGCAGACTGAAGGATTGCAGGTTTGATTCCGGTCAAGGACATGTACCTCAGTTGCAGGCTCAATTGATGTGTTTCTCCCACATCGATGTTTCTCTCTCTGTCTCTCCCTATTCCTTCCACTCTCTTTAATAATCAATGGAAAAATGTCCTCAGGTGAGGATTAACAAACAAACAAAAAAAGGTAAGAATTCCTTCACACACCGAGTCAAAGAGCCTGTAAAATGTTAATTATTGGGTCAAGCTTTTCATCATGGAATACAGATTGTTACAATGGTAGAAGGTTTGGTTAAAGTGGGAGGAAATGGAAGAAGATGTTAATGTGGGAAAAATACCATGTAAGCTGCACTGAGTTAGACTTTAGGAGCCACAATGTTTACTCTTATCTGCTCTCAAGTGGTCCATAAAGTTCCCTGAGACCACTCTGGCTTCTCTGTTTTAATATTTGAGACCCTAGCTACTAATGCGGAAGTGATTAAGATTCTCATAGCAACACGTTGGCCCTCTCAAATGACTAGAAATGGAGAAGATATTGTAGAAGTTATAGAGATGTGGTAGTGAACATGTTGAGAGATACTTCACAAGAGAAGCAAAAAGCAAAGGATCTGATGGGTGCAAAATCAGTTCATGTATGTTCTTGCAAGAATAACATAAATTTCAGTGTTTGAAATTGTCCTACTGAAATGAAATTAGTCGAAATTAGAATATTTTGATGACATGTCTTAGTGTTGAATTTGACTCATGTGGTTTTGAATGGATGGAGTTTGGAATGAAATAGAATCTCAAAGGGATGTGTTAATAGGCGCGGAACCACATGAAGCTGACGGAAATAGATTGTCAAAAATCACCTCAGAAACACATTGGCAGCTCTCCTGCCACTTACTTTGATAGCCTCATAAATGACACACATTGTCCAACACTTAATGAAATGGGAAAATGCCTAAGTTCCATGTTAATGACTGTCAACTTGCTGATTCACAACACAATGCTCCTCAGTGTCAGGACTCTTGTTTTCTAGAGAACAGGAGGAAAGTGACAAAGGTACATTTGTAAGCTAGAGATATGGGCCCAGGAAGAGGCCAAATTAGTCTTTGTATATTGCTCATGATTCAGAAGAAGGAAAACTTAATCACATTAACAGTCATAGGGGCATCAATCTAATCTTGTGTTGAGCATGGCTTTAAATCCAGTGATTTCAGCCACCAATATTTATTGAGTCTTTACTAGAGGCAGGTACTGTGCTAATGACTGGGCACATAATGGGGAACAAAACCTGGCAAGTCCTTTAGCCCCATCCCAGTGACCAAAGTAGTTAATCTTGTACTTTCCCTGCTGCAGCCCCTTGAACCAACCATTTCCCTAAGCCTTGGAGAATGACATTTGGAAATCAAGAGCTTCTCATTGGTTATTAGGATGCCATTGCTTAGAATCTTCTCAGTGGGCAGAGTTATACCTACTTCTATACCAATTTGCATATATGTATTTAAAAACCATGAGTTTATACTGATACATCCAATTCCAGTGGAACTCCGCAGGATTCATGAGAGTTCTCCCTCTTTCCTTGTTTATAACTCCTTTCTCCAGCAGTAACCAACCTGGTTCTCTTTGTCTATGGTATATTAACTTATTTGCTCAATCCCAAAGCTCACATAAGTAGTTTCAAAATTGCCAAATATGCCCCTGTGAAAAATGAACCTAGTAACTAGAGCACAATATTTGTGTATAGTTCCTTTTCTGTTTAGTATTAGAATACAAAGTGAATACTTATTTTTTCAATAATATTTAAGTCAATTCATATTCCTGTTAAAAATCTACTAACTAGAGTATAATATTTCTGTACAGTGCCTTTTTTGTTTTTTAGCCTTAAAATACATAGCTGGTGGTTGCTAGAGGAGAGGGGGATTGGAGAACTAGATGAAAGGGGTGAAGGGACTAAGAAGTACAAATCAGTAGTTACAAAATAGTCACAGGGATACAAAGTACAGCCTAGGGATTATAGTGAAAAATACTGTAGTAACTATGTATGGTGCCTGGTGGGTATTAGAGATATCAGGGGGAACACTTTGTAAAGTATATGATTTCTCTAGCTACTGTGCTATATATCTGAAACCAATACAAAATAATATTGAAAGTAAACTGTAATTGAAAAAGAAAAATAAGCACATATAGGGTGGGCCAAGACACACACACACACACACACACACACACACACACACAGACCACACAAGGTGGGGCAAGATATATATGTATATCTTGTATTTATGTGTGTGTGTGTATATATATACATATATATACACACATATATAGTGGACTTATACATAATTTAAAATATTTTGAAATAATATGCACACAAAAGCAGTCCATTAGGAAAGGCTACCTCTCTATCTGTCTTCCCTAGGTTGGAGAACAATAAAGTGGATGTTTGCCACTGACTTGCTTGCTAATCCTAAAACCAGCCAGGCTATTCTATGAAGAAGTAAATGTTGAAGGTGAGTATGCATATTCAGAAAGTAGAATGCAGAAAATTAGCAAATGTCATGGTGTAAAAATATTTGATAATCTGTGGTGAAAAAGCTTCTGTTGATCACGAAGCAGCTGAGAATTACATGTATAAATTTGCTAAGATTACATCTGATGAAATCCTTAATCCTTAACAAATTTGCAAATGCCAATGAAACAGCTCTATACTGGCACTGTATCCAGAAAAACCTTAGTTATGGCTGGTAAGAGAACCCTAGTGCAGTGGTTCTCAACCTCTTGGCCCTTTAAATACAGTTCCTCATGTTGTGACCCAACCATAAAATTATTTTTGTTGCTACTTCATAACTGTAATGTTGCTACTGTTATGAATCGTAATGTAAATATCAGATATGCAGGATGGTCTTAGGCGACCCTTGTGAAAGGGTCGTTCGACTGCCAAAGGGGTCGCGACCCACAGGTTGAGAACCATTGCCCTAGAGGGTTTTGACACTGAGTCCAGGGTGACTGTTTTTATTTTCATTTTATTTTTAAAATCATTTTTAATTTTTCAATTAGTTGACATGCAATATTATATTAGTTTCAGGTGTACACTCCAGTGATTAGATAACATATAACTTACTAAGTGATGAGGTGGCTGTTTTTAGATGTGTCAGTTCTACGGGAAAGATTAAATAGGTAGTGATTGGGAAGAGCCAACTTCCAGGAAGTTTAACTGATGTATGTAATGTACCTGCCATTACTGTGCAACAGGAAACTTATTCAATACATACTTTGCACCTATGGCTGGAGTTCATGGCAGGCAACCTGGACTAGACAAAATTGTAGAGTTATACTGTTCATGTACAGTGCTCCATACATCCCTGTCCTGAACTTCTGGGGGGAAAGAATGTTTTTGGCATTTAAGTTTCCCTTCAATATCGCATCTGTAATCCAGCCTTGTTGGTCAAGAAATTTTACACTCCATGGAGGGCAAGCATAAATCCCAACCCCCTTTTGTTTTGTCCTTTGATTGCATGTTTGTTGAGGTTCACAGATGCCTAGGAATCCCAAATATACTAAAAGAGTTGAGTCTTAGGGATGTTATTTCTGCAGTAGTTAATACTTAGAACAATGTTGATACAAAATGCAAATGCTATCAGTCTTGACAATGTAAACACAAACTACAGAGTTTATGAGTGGACTTTGGGGTGGGAAAGAAAAAGTGAAAGGAAGGCCAAGGTTGCTAATCCATTTATCTTAAAAGTTGCTTAAGAGCTAGTATCAATATTTGATGAATAAAAAAAATAAAGGATGAAATGCAGTGTTTAAATGTAAGGTCAGTCAACAATTAAAGGAAAACATAATGACATAAGTGTATTTGGGGGAAGGGGAATTGGTGTGGTGTGAATTGATACTTAACTGTCTGTAGGTGGTTAACTTAGAATTAAATGTGCAATATTAAAAGAATCAAAGACACTGAAGCACAATAATAAAATGCAGTAGTCCCCACCCATGCTCGCCTCTCTCCTAGGTTCCCTCTCAACCTTAAGAAACTATATGCATATTGGGTTTTTTTTTTATGGTAATCTAGAATTATAATTAAAATGAGTTTAAAAAATTAAAAATTGAAAAATTGGAACAAAGGTTCAATATTAAGGGAAAAGAGAGTTACTAAATCATTTTACATATGAAGCATATTATTTTATAATGTACTTTCACACCCCTTATGTCATTGGTCCTCATGGAGATTATGTGAGTTTGGCAGCTTTCACATTATCAGGTTATTTCAAAGGGAGGAAAACCAAATACAAAGAAGGTGACTAATCTGCCCAGTGTCATCTGGAGAGGGAAGTGTAGATGCCATGGTCAGAACCTAAATCACATGTCTTTTAGTCTTGTTCTTATTTCTGTGTATCAATGGTGCCCAAACAGTGGCCCAGAAAGACATTTTTATTGGCCAAGAGTTTCTCTTTAGATACATTCCTGACAATCTTTCTTTGACCTAGAGATCCCTGAGTTGAGCTTTCAGGACAAGTAGATAAGGAAAGAACTCTAGTCCCCTTCTTGAAGCTCTTGTGGCCTACCTCTA